TAGATATGAATTTAGTCGTACTATGATTATATTATCGTGATATTCATCACAATATCATCCAGACACATATGTTATTCGCACGTAATATTTTATATTAACATGAGGAAAGTAACTGCATGCTTGGGAGTCTCCTGCAATCAACCTACAGGCTACGTAAACCATTTCGATCAGATTTTGGGTGCATGTGGTTGGTAAGCTAATAATCAATTATCATGTGGGGGTTCGCCATTTTTAATAGCTTTGTTAATGAAATTAAGCAATGTACAGAGAAAAAAATAAGAGAAAAAGCAGTTGCAGAAATTTCTATTATGAGCAGTAACTTGAAATTTGATACATGATTGGATTAAGATAAGCCTTAACGCAGGGTAATGATGAAGAATGTTTATTAAAGTTTGGGAGAATATTTATGGAGCTTTACTGAAGTTAACAACCACTGAAAGCAGATTTGAATATTGATATTCCTACCTTCAATAGAGACATTAATGTAAAGAAGTTGGATGTTGAGTTGGTCACTTGGAAATCTACTTCCATCCTTATGAATGTAGTTCTTAAGAAAATGTCTTGTTGACTCATATTTGATTTGTTCATGAATTACACGAGGGTTTAGGGTTTATTGGTTTGGTTGCCCTAGTTAGGTGTCACTTTTGTGCTGCTTTGTGTGTTTACAGGGTGTGAGACTTGCACACTAGTATGTTAGGGCGGTCTTCTTGCAGGGAGTCATGTCCAATAAAGAGGAGATATAATGATTTTATGCTAACGCCTTCTCTGCATGTGTTGTTAAGCTCTCTCTCACTTGACATAGTTCATCACGTTGCATGTAGGTAGCTTTTTTCTAGCATGATTTTTTCGTAGCTCGAGTTTTTTTCTTACTTTTCATATATACTTTTTTAGAGTCTTAGGAGAGTCATGTAGCGGAAATAAGATATGAGCATGAGTTCTGAGGTGCTTGTGGCATGGAACCTGGTGGTGGGGAACAGGAGCAGATGTTGGTGTCCCATATCTTAATTGCGCATTTTGATATTGATGTATAGAATTAGAACCAAATATGTGCATATGTAGTGTATAGTCACCTTTTTTTGTTTCTCGGATATGTTGCTGGCTCAGCGACATCTGGCCTGTTATTATTTCTTTATTTAGCTTCTTTACTTTCCTGCTTCTTGCATGTGCTCGTCGATTTCTCCGTTTTTATCTTGTGGTCCCTTTAGTAATCCAGTATTACAATTTAGTCTCTTTAAGAAACCTAATATCATAAAATTTTTACAAAATTCCTAATAAAAGATTGAGAAAAGTCAAAACTTAGGATTAAAATATTTTAATTATTTAAAGCAAGCACTTACTTTTCTGCATGACTTTCGGGTTGATTTTAAAATGTTTTGCATGCATAGCTATATCCCCAATCTTATTAATAGGGTCTCCATGCTTAGGACTAGATGATTGCATTATATTCATGTCCCAAGTAGAAGTTTCCGTGCTTCTTCAACCTAACTGACCCAACATAATTTTTATACTTAGGTGGTTGTCTAGCACGTTTAGGATGTTAGAGGCTTTTCCGACCCAGACGAGGAGTAAGTCTTTTGTTGAGAGTGTTTTTAGCATTATAGCCAAACCTCTCTTTTCTCTTTCTTCCGGTGGCATTTTTAGCATTTATTTGGTGAGTATAAGTTCCACCTCTGTGAGCTTTATCTTTATAGGTCATAGGACTTAGAGTTTCATTCTCTTGACCTTAGGGCTACCGAGTTCTCCTTAGATGAAGCAATTCACAGATTGCTGATAAAGGATCTCTAGTTGTGTTGGGTCAACTACCTTCACCACCAGGTAGAATTAAGATTCTAATAGCTTGGGATAACTAATTTGTGGTATCCTGACCCAACTATCTCTACCCTATTAGGATTACACCACCTCTTCTTTATTGAGCCCTTTTGAGCCATGACATCTTTTTGACACCTCGTTGATGTCTTCTATTAGGCCTCGATTGCGGATAAGTAGCCTCCCATTTGGGATAGAGTGATTAACCCTCTACTTTTGTGGCCCAGTTTGGCTCTCGAAGCACTATGAGCCAACTAGGTTATTTCGCAGGCCTTGTATGTTGTTGAGTAGCAACCCATTTGAGATGTGAGAGATTCACTTTCTGTCATGTGGCTTGCAAAATCTTTGAAAGAATCAAGATTCTCCTGCAAGATAACCATCACTTGTTGACCTATTTACCGATCATGATAACGTAAGCAAGACTCTTTTTATTGAGATTATTCTTGGGTATGTACCAATATGTAATTATCCAAAGGGATGCATTCCTTTGAATTTGCCTGACCCCATAATAAAAATGTGTTTTTTGCTCTCTGGTCATGTGTGACTTATGTAAAGATTTTCTTCATGGATATCGCACTTTGGGGTATTTCAATTCGATCTTATTCAAACATATATTCTCGACCTATCACACGAGGATTATCCTACATAATCCCTCCATGTTTCTATTTAAAATTGTTTATCTATTTTCGTCGTATATTCTATTTTTTCTGATTCCTCACCTTTTTGGATCGTTTATATAATATGGAATGAGGATTTAATTGGAAAGGGGAATCATACGATGATAACATATATATAGAAAATCTGGTGACTCTGAGTTCTTAAAAAGAACCAAATATAGCAGCTTGTTGAACAAAGATCAACTTTGTGGAGTAACAAAGCACTATGCATAAATACGACTAACGTTGCAGAGTAACGAAGCACTGTGCGGAACTGCGCGTCATCATAAACACCACAAATTGGCACACTTTGAAGATGGTGTGTCAAAGTTCTGACAACTGTAAACACTCCCTATTGTTGTGCAACATGTCCTCTTGCAAATGAATTATATAACTGCGTGATTCTTTCTTGCCTGTGGAACAAGGATCTGTACCCGTACTCATCAAGTTATAGTGAATAATTTCTAACTGTGTTAGGCTTGCGGCTTATTGTATTTTTAGATTTTCCACGTAAAAACTTCTGATGTCTCTATTTATCACTTATATTATCTGAGTGTGCGCTAAATTGTCGTACAATGTTGATATGATAATTCATTACCCTACCACCGCAAATTCTCTAACACACATCAATTTATATGTGATTATGAACCAATTCCACAATAAAGAGGTGCGAGCATTGTAATTGGAGGGATTGAAAATTAGATAAGCGTATATACTTATTTTCTCTCCCATTTTCTTTTATGTTCTTTGTGCTAAAATATTTTCCTTATTCAAGGGACAAATTAGGATCCCATAATACATATTAGAAATTGTATGCTCTCTCTCTCTCTCTCTCTCACACACACACACACACACATATTAATATATATATATATATATATATATATAATGTAAAGCTAAGCAAGCACTGTATGAAAGATCTTATGGAATTGATAATCTCTTAAATAATATTATAACTACATTTGAATAATTTTTATTTGTATAAGCTGTTATCTTATAAAAAAAAATTAAAGACAATTTTTAAATAATGTTTATATATAATTTAATGTTATTATTTAAAAAGATTTAGATACATACCTATTATTTATAATCTATTAACGCATATAATTAACATATTTAGCAACAATTCAGTGACATTTACAAAACAAATTAACATTATATAATATTTTCTATTACATCACAATTTAACCCTCAACTTACTATTTAAACATATTAATTATTATTTCAAAAAAAAAATCTAGTAAATATCTAATTAAAAATATTGTAATATAGTTATATTATCTAATAATTTTTTCCTCTATTGAAATATTTACATATATACCCCTCAATTCTTATGTATACTTAACACTAAAACTTCCTTTTTTACATGCATGTCATCTTACCTATGCATGAAATTAGGGCAGTCAAGACGGATCGTCGTTCGCGAACAACTCGTGTTCGGCTTGTTAAGAAGCTCGTGATCGGCTCGTTTGCTAGGTTAACGAGCCGAACACGAACAGCACAAACACGAACAGCACAAACAAATTTTTGTTTGTTCGTGTTCGACTTGTTTTGGCTCGAAATACTGCTAAGCAATTATATATATATATATATCTTTGATAAGTAGTATTTTTAAAAAAAATAATTGACTGCAAGACTACAAAGATTTATAATCAATTAAAAGTTTTATGAAGAAAATAGAATAAAAATTATTAATTTAGATTCAAATGATGTTTTGAATCTTGTTTCAATCCTTAACATCTTATGACTTGATTAGGGTTGTGCAAAAATATGGCTAAGTGATTAGGGTTATCAAAACGATTCTTTGTTTGTGAACGGCTCGTGTTTAGCTCGCTAAGAAAACAAGCCCAACAAACGAGCCGAACACAAACGCACTTTTTGAGCTCGAAATATAAACGAGCCGAACACGAGTCGGCTCGTTTACACCCCTACATGGAATGGTGTATTTCACTTTTAAGAGTTAAAATAATAGCATTTTTTATGTAACATAAAAGTTTTTGGCGGTATAAATAGTAAATTTTAAATGTTAGATACATAAATACTTAAAAATTGGGTGGGATGGAAGTAAAAGCCCCCCCTTTTTTCTCCTTTGACGTTTGATAAATTTACATGCATTAAATACTAATAAAAAGTGCTTTTTGAGTACAACGCACTTAACTTTATCACATACTCATCATAATACCTCAATATTATATAGTTAGTACCTTCTCTCAACGTCCCAAGCCAAAGCACTTTGACTAAAGTTGCTTTCGAGACAATCAAAATCACATCCAAACATTTAAAAATCAATTTCCCATTCTTTGGAATCGCTTATATAAGATTTACATTGCATTATAATAACTCTAAAATCCCCCAAAATTTCTCATGCTCATGCATTTAGCTTCATTTCTACGTAAGCTTTCTTCATCCCAACCCATCGCCGCAGCTGCCGGAATCAGCTTTTCAAAACGCACTACGTATATAAGACTAAGGAGAGATAGAGAGTTTGAAATATATATATCTATCTATATATATATCACGCAACATACTAGAGGAATAATGGCTTCTTCTTCGTCGGCGACGACTTCCAGCTACGGCGTGCCGCCGGGGTTCAGGTTTCACCCAACAGATGAAGAGCTTCTCCTCTACTATCTGAAGAAGAAAGTTTCGTTTGAGAAGTTTGACCTTGAGGTGATCAGGGAGGTTGACTTGAACAAGACTGAGCCATGGGACTTGCAAGGTGATTAATTATGTAGTTTTAGCTAGGGAGAAATATAAGATGTATGTGGGGAGAGCGGTATGTGCCGCATGGCAAGTGAGCCACGTGACAAGTGCACCCTAGACTCCGAACGTAAATTTACATCTAGTGTCCTAATGAATTGAGCGCTCTTTGATTTGATCTCTTACTTGGGTTCATCGGAACCACTTCTCCACACGTGTATCATCCGGACGTAGTAATCATTCATAGTTTTAGAGTTGGTTTTGATATGATTGCATGGATAGATAAGCTTATCTATTTAGGTTGACGATGATTTAATGGTGCTGAATTAAATCTTGGCATGCATGTGTTTTTATCATGCTTTATAATAGTTATAAACATATGAATAAGGCTGGAGTCTAATCTTGTATCTTGATTTGGTTAGCTTACCTTTTCATTTGAGTGATGTTTGCCTTTACTTGCAACACGAAAAAGTTATCAGTTTGAGAAATTTATGAATTAAATTTGGATTAAAAAATATAGTTAAGAAAAAGTTTCAAGTCTGTGACGAAATATTATGTTTAGATGACGGATGTGGGGATGAAGGCGTGAATTGCATCACGTCGTCGAATGTACTACATGATGTGATACACGTAGTTATCTGTCTGGACGTAATATTTTCTCCAAACCTACATATCTATTGTTAAACTAGTTGCAATTTGTCTTAGCTGGTGCGTGCATGAGCAAAAATAAGAGAATTCAAGTCACATATTATAATAAAAGAACATGAAAATTATGTTGTGTAGATTGAAGCAATCATGCATATGGTTATATAAGATGCAAATATATAATTATAAACGCCACACAGAGAGGTGCAGGATAGGAGCTACACCACAAAACGAATGGTATTTCTTCAGCCACAAAGATCGCAAGTATCCGACGGGGTCGAGAACAAATCGGGCAACAAGCGCGGGGTTCTGGAAGGCGACCGGAAGGGACAAGTGCATCCGAACAACCTGCAACAAGATCGGCATGAGGAAAACACTCGTCTTTTATCGTGGACGAGCCCCTCATGGCCTCAAGACAGACTGGATAATGCACGAGTACCGCCTTGAGGATACAGACGATCCTCAAGCCGATGGCACTGTAAGTCTATTATTCATACTGACGTTTAATTTGCTCAAATATATCTATCTATATAAGTTACACACGACGCGCACGCACACGTACGCACTTCATTACTGATTAAGCATTGCCAAATCATTTTTCACTAGTCCATATATATGAAGTACTAAGCATATGATCACATCTTGTTCAAGTGCATCATGGAACAAGCAATGAACTGTCATGCATGTTGGGCATTAAGGATTTGTAAAGTGCAAATTCGAGTCAATTTAGTTCATTAACACATTGTATATTAAATATGTATCACATTTTTAAAGGTAATTATGTAAAAATATGCGTGGATCATCCTTTTGATTTTATGAGCACATGATGTGGATTTTGGTAGCAATTGTTTATATGTGGGGTTTAACTAATTATTTTATTTCATGCTATCACAATCCCTAAGAAAACCATCATATAATATTAACTTAAAGTCCTATTTGGTTTAGTGGCTAAATGGGTGTAGGAGTGAATGCAATAGAGTTTTGTTTAGGTTTATTGTAAATTTTTTAGCAATAAAAAATATAATTTATCAAAATATAGTAATTAAAAATCTTTTTTTTATTAATTTTTTTTTAAATGAAGAAGCAAAATACATTTAAATACTAATTTTATTTTTTAATCATATTTTTTTCCAAAAGATAGAATGTTACTTACGGGATTAGGAGTGCTTGTCTCTGATGATAGTTGCATAGGAAAGTTGATTTTAAGGAACTATGATTAAAATTTTAAGTTAGAAAATTAATGATGTTCCATATGCAGAATGATGTGACGATAAGGACATAAGTGTAATTGAAGTTGTTACTCTAAACATAGTTTAAAAAAATATGAAAATTTTTTAATGTTTGTCACATTTTCTAATAACTTCTTATATTTGTGGTAATGTACAATGCCAAATTAGCATGGCCTTTGATTACATTTTTAAACTATGTCCAAAAATACTTAAAAATGAACTATCTTATTAGCATGGGCTTCAATTAAACATAGTTATCTCAAAACTAAATTAATAGATATGTCCCAAACTACTCCAACTATACATCAATTTGCTATGTATTAAAAAGAGCTAATTGATAATCGTGAATCGTCACTACATCACCCATTAGTAATTATTAAACTCAGCCAACAAAGATCTTCTCTACACAACAGTTTTGGAGGATATTGTCCAAAACATGCAATACAAAGTGTCATAAATCTCTCATGCCAAGATTATTGTGTCAACCACTTGCCTACCTATGTTTTTCCTCTTACAACATCTATCCTTATGCAACATCCTCAAAGAAGCAAATTCTAGATAGTTTAAACTCATTATGCAATTGTGGGATGATTATCATGGCTTTTTAAATATAGTAGGCCATGATCATTAAAACTTCTCCAAGACTTCAATAAATGATCATTTAAAGAGTAAGAAGACTTTCTATTTCTCAAATCCTACTAAAAATATAAATTATAGTAGAACCTTTGCTTATTATTTATTCATAATAAACTTATTCATAGCAATATTAGTTTAATCCAAGGACTTAGTCTTGAATTTAATGTTAGAATTTGTAACCAAACTACAATAGATCTTATATTCATTATTATTTTTCCTCTTTTCACTTTAGTCATAATCCTCGAATGTGAAAAGTAGAGGGTTGTGCTTGGTAGTCTATAGTCAGCACAAAACTTTTTTTGAAAAATTAATGACATGAATCATTTAAATCAGTGTGTAAATATTAGGTCGTTCCTTGAAAGCGACATACTGTATGACATGAATATAGTGAAAAACATTATAGGGTCACTACACCGAGGCCTGGTTGTAGTAATAAATGAGAAAAGGTTCCCACACTATTGATGCATGCGAGCAAAGGAGGTAGTCTATACAATAAATATTAGGGTATGATTATAGAATATTGGTACTCTCACAGATAAATTAATGAAATTGGTAGATATTATGATTCATTAAGATAGACATCTTATACATTTAAGAAACTAAATAGGTTGAAGAGAAGACTAAGGAGATTAATGATAATTTTGGTTTTAAACTTTGGTATTCTAGCAAGAGTCACACTAGAAATAGTGTAGGTGTAATAATTGATAAGGGTTTGAAATATAAAAATTGATACTAATATTTTTGATGTTATAAGTGCTTATGTTCCTCAAGTAGGTTTATATATAATTTCAAAACAAAAAATTTTGGAGTAATTTAGAAGAATTAATATAAATGATACCTCTAGAAGAAGAATTTTTTTGATATCTCTAGATTTTTATGGATAGAGTAGTAGAAGATTCTAGAAATATTCATTGGTTATAGTTTTGGAGTGATGAATGAAGAAGATAAAACAATATTAGATTTTACTTCAGCTTATGATTTTATTATTGTTAATACATTAATTAAGAAAATGAATGAGAATAATTTAAACTAAGCCTATGATCAATGAAGGTTTCAAAAGGGTTTTCAATTTTTTAAATTATTTTAAAAGTATTTAAAATTACATTTAAATTATTTTTAAATTACCTTAAAATATATTAAGTTACTCTTGATTTACTTTTAAATTATTTTTAATTTTTTAAATTATATTTTAAATTATTCTTAAATTAGTTTAAAATTATTCTAAAATTCTTTCAAATTATTTTTAAATTACTTTTAAATGTTTTAAAGTTATTTGAACCACTTAAACTATTTCTAAATTAATTTTAAGTTATTTTAAGTTATTTTTAAATTATTTCATATTACAAATTAAACTGAATAGGCTTGCAAATGGCATGTTCTCTTATAACATTTACAATGAGAACCAACATGTAAGAGGTTCTTGTCCTCCACTTTTTCTTTATTTTCTATTCTTTATGCATAAAAAGAAATAAACATGATACTTGGGGAACAATTTACTAAAACATGACATATGCATGAACCAAAAGTTAAATAGACAACACATGAAGCATATAATGAAGCTAAATTAGGATAGAATTAGGCTCGGGTTGGCTAGACATGGGCTGACGCTAAACTTGAGTTGGATTTTGGTAGACTTGGGTTGGACCTGGCCGACTTAGGTTAGAATTGGGATGGACCTGGGTTGGATTTGGGCTTTTCTTGGGTTGGAATTGTGTTGGACCTGGGATGAACTTAGGTTCAGGCAAGGTTGGGTTAGAGTTTCAGCTAGGTTAGGTTTAGGCTAAGCTGAGTTCTGATTAGATTGGGTTTGTCCTAAGCTGGATTTGGGCTTGATTGGGTTCTGGCTAGGTTGGGTTCAGGCTAGGTTTGGTTCGTGCAAGGTTGGGCTTAGGCTAGGTTGGGTTTGAGCTAGATTGGTTATGAGCTAGATTGGGTTTGGGCTATGTTAGGTTTGGGTTAGATAGGGTTTGACCTAATCTTTTTTTGGGTTAAGTTGGGTTCAGGTTAGTTGATTTGGCCTACGTTGGGTTCAAGCTAGGTTTTGTTCAAGCTAGATTGTGTTCGAGTTAGGTTGGATTCGAGCTAGGTTGGATTTAGGCTAACCTAGGTCTAGCTTAATCTTGGCCCTAACCTATTTACTTCATTAAATTTTTTTCCTAGTGAGCAGAAAAATAAAACAAAAAAAAACTAAAAAAGGGAAAAAGAAATTATTTATAATGATCATCCAACAGACAAATAACTGAGCACCTCTAGAGGAAGGAGGGGAAACTGACTAGAGAATCACCAGAGACGGAGGAGGAGGTAAGAGAAAGTGGGTAAGTGTGTCTGGACTGCGGAAAGCCAAGGAGCATTTATAGGTTTGGGAGCTATCCTAATAGTAGGAATAGTTAGCTCCTATGAATCAACCCTCAGTCATCACTGACTGAAGTAGAGGGTTGACACTCGGGTCACTGTCAATTGGAGCAGAAGTGGTTGGAGCTCCCACAGATCAAGAAAAGTTCATCAAATTTTCATTGGCTGAAGGTGAGAATGATTTGACATATCTGGAAGAGAAAAGGATGAGGCTCATAAGCACCACTTTGGTGCACCTAGGTGCCTTGGCGCCAAAGACTGCCTAGTGTCTAAGTGCTAGCTTAGTGCTACCAAGGTGTCGCCACCTCTCATACCTTAGAGTTTGGGGTTTCAATTAGATAGGGCTTCTTTATTTTTTTCTTATCTTAGATCAACAAGATTATGGTATATAAAAAAAAGTTAGGTGAGTGTGAGCCCTAACTTAGGAGAGAGAAAATTGTGATTTTTTTATGAAAATTTAGATGAGCTTTAAAATGGTGAAATTTGTTATTCTCAGCTCACTTTGACTATATTTAGAGTTTGGATTTGATTTGAGTTCATTTGGAGGGCAAAAACATAATTATCATCCAAAGTATCATAATTATCACCCAAATTATAGTCGACTAGCTAAGCTCCAAAATAGAGTTTGATTTAGGAATGAAGGGTCTAATTTCAAGGATTTCAATGATTTAGATGTAATCACAAAGTTGTTTTGTAAACGATGCTTGGCTTAAAAAAAATTGTATGGGATGAATTCTCATGCATGAATGCTCACCACACAAAATTTCACATAAAGCGTTATCTATTAGTCTTCAAAACCTACTTCATAATATTCATACATTATTAGTGAATCAACAGTTGATCATAACATGAAGTTTCAAGTACTACAATGACATGTAGATAAAAAAATAATTTTAGAGCATACAAATAACAATGTCAGAATATTCCCTCATCGAGCTGCATTTTGATCCACCTTTATGATTTGATTTAAACTAATTATGTTTGATTTTGATTTTGGGTGTATTTCAAATTCTTCTTAGATTTTTGGAGTTGAGCAAAAGTGAGGTCAACAATTGGTGAAGTTGTTATAGGAATGACCATTCAAGATGTAATGGTTATATTCATTAAAATAAATATACTAGGTGTAAATGATTACGTTAGGTGTGAGTAATCATGTTTAATGTAAGTCATATGCTAGGTGCAAATGATAGAGAGACACCCTTAAATATAAAGGAGCAGTTGGAGATTTGAATATTTAAACATATAAACTTGCTTAATAGGAAATCCACCCGTAGAAAATATGGATGTCATTAGCCTTATGACCACACTTTCAATTCATAAAATCTATAAAAATAGAATATATGTTTCTAATTGTAAACATTTTTAAATCATACGAATCAAAAAAGACTTTTAGAGGTTGAGTTTCTAAGCATATTATGCACATAAAAAGAGAAATATATACACAAAACACATACTAACACATAGGATTAATCTTAAAAAGCTAAAAACTAGATGCATATAAAATCGTGATGTGAGTATTAAATAAATGGTGCATTGGGTGACCATTTTACAATGCATATGCATATATTTTTCAGAGTGATATCCAGAACTTATAAATATTTTTAACATAGAGGGTGTATGAAGGGAGACACAAACATGTGGCAAAGTGATAGATCAATTAATGAAACAAGGTGCACTAATGACAGACAAACAAGGTAGCTTACAAGATGAAATAAATCTATGAACAATCATTCTAGAATAAAGATGACCATAAGGAAATGTGCATACTAGATTGCATATAATATGAAATAATTTATATGTGTGGGGTGTGTGTGTGTCCACAAGTAACCCAAGGCTAAAGCACATACTTATAAAATACCATACTTCAACCACAAGCTTGACATACAATTACAAAAAAACATATACTATTAACATATAAAAACCACAACTCAATCAATGTTAAAGCCCAACAAGTATATCCTATCCAAACTCACATGGTTTGGATTGAAAGGGTTAAAGTACAAGTAACTATTTTATGTACTCCAATGTAATGGTTATAAACTCAGTATACACTCACTTTGGGTCATTTCAAGATTAGACATATTTATATAAGGAGATATCTCATGACTAAGATAAATAAAGTGATCAATCTAAGATTCATGGGATTAAAGAGCATAGCTACAAAGTTATGTTAATAAAACCCTAACTAAATATAGATAATAGAGAATTACGGCTTGAAATCACTCAAAATAAATGATGGGGAAAATAAGATCGTCTTACTATCCTAAGAAAATCATCTAACATAAGCCTATCCTAGGTGCGCTAAAATGAAGAAAAGGAGAGGAAATCTCAATGCCATTAAGGGCTGATAATTTTTCCTCTTCAAGTATTTCTCCAAGCTCCAAGAAGAACTTTACTTGGCTTTAAAAATAGTGAGATGAAGAGGAATAAAATCTCTTCAAATGTTTCATATCATAATTTTTAGAAGGTGGGAAGGTGGCTCTCGCATAGGCTAAGATAAGAGGGGGAAGAAGAGAAAGAAAAAAAAGAAGAGGACCCCTCTCGTAAAAAAAAAATCTCCACTCCAAGCTATGCGCTTACTCCAAAAGAATGGCTTGTTAAATATGCCAAGGCGGCCCCAAATCCATGCCAAATATCCCCTCTTTTTCCCTTTAAAACTTAAAAAGTATTTATTAAATCCACTTAAGTTCAACCCCATTAGTTGTTTGACCAAAAGGATATAATGAAAAGCTACTATAGACCTTCTCCCCCTTGCCCATGCCTAAATTCTAACTTGAGCAGTGGGAGAATGAGCTAAAATTCTTATTAAATTTGATAGTATTACTATCACACTACCTTTATCAAGATGATGCAGATTTGCACGAAGCATTACAACACTAGGACTAGCACCACAACCCCAAGTTGGATGCCCTAAGCACTTGACTATTTGTAGCACAATAGAATTTCATCCTTTATTTAAATGAAGCTTCTAATGCATGTTTTGGAACATTGAGAGCCATATGAAAATCAAATAAGTTCCAAAATATTTAAAAAGTGATTTTCAATGATATGCATAAGAAATGTTGCGAATAGATGGACCCTTAATATGTTAAATATGTCAATAAGTCATAGTGCACTTGTTGATGACAAATCATTTGATTTTCCAATCCAAGTTTGGTACAAAATGATTATAAATTTCAAGAAAAATTGATCAAATAGGGTGAGATCAAGATCCATAACATCAATTTCCTTGTTAATAGAATTATGCTCAATTAGATCACATTACCTACCTAACCAGCTCCCACTCAATTAGGATACCTTTGTAACTTAATTTTTCTGGTTGATTTATAACACTGTAAGAGACAAAGCCACTTAGAATACCCAAATATTTCTTATAACATCACATTTTTGAATAGATCATCTAAATTATCTAGTCATCTTCTATCTGACCAGATCACTTCAATTATCTAGTCAATCCCCATCCAATTAGAAGACTTGGATCTCTTAATTTACTAATTAACTAGCATAAGATTGACTAGATTACTATTTAATATATCTTATATGTGGAAAAGGTGCCTAGATAAATTAGAAATTAGCTAAATAAGTGAGTTAATCTAGACAAAATGTTATTAACTAGAATTAAGGTAGATTAGTAAATCAAAGCACCAAAGGTAATCAACAAGGCAAGTGAGGTGGCCTGGTTAATTAAAGTATCAAAGGTAATTAGTTAAGCAAATATCCTAGTCAATCAAAGCATTAGAGATAACTAAAAAAGCATGTCAGGTCGCCATACCATCAAAGTGTTCTGCAATTGAAATTTACTAGATGATAAAAGGTGATGTAGTTAAGTAGAAAACCTACAACCCAACCATCTGACCAAGGTGATGTTAAATGAGGCACTTATTATAAGACAAGCAAGATCAATAATCATGATATATCCCTAAATAATTTGCATCATAGATATTCCAAAATAATTTGCATCATAGATCTCAGTCAGCCTCTACTAGGGATAGTCTAACAAATCATTAAGCGACTTCTACTATGTAGAATTATAAATGATTGGTTAGATCATCTTTGTTAGGTATCTCTTGATTAGTTGATCAATGGATTGGCTTATTTAGGTTTGCTTATGCACACTAGAGTGAAGCACCCATGGCTCAATTATATGACTAAGGTAAGGGTTAAAAAGATGCCCACTTATGCTTCAACGACTTAATATAAGCTTGAATGGACCTAGATCGAACCAATTAACATCACTAGGTTCATCTTGTCAAGGTAGTTAGTTTGATTATAAATGTGTTATAATTGGTGCCTGGTTAAGCCTGAATTCTAATTGGAAGGTCATTTATAAAATGCATCATGATTCGTGTTCGATAAAAAAATGTCGATGAAACATCAATAATAATAATAATAATACTAACTTGATAAAGTAAATCACCTTAGTAGGTTGAGAAAAAATCAAGAATATATTTAAATTAGGATATTTTACCTCAAAAATAATAGTGAGTTCATTAAATAAAACAAGACATTCAAAATATCAATTTATAACTACTATAATTTTTTTATAAGAACATAAACACCTTAGATTATGTTTCATTATGAGGAATAGAAGCCAACTATCAATCAGTTACTACCGATATATTCAATGCTACAAAATTTTCACCAAATATTCAAATTCTATAAATGATTACAAACATTTATTAATAAAACACCAACAAATATCCATAAATATGGGATATTCAATAAGTTGATGGTGTTTTTTTGGGAACTTTTACGGTATCTTCTTATATTTTATGATTCTTTATTCCTAAAAAATATTTTCTTAATCCTTTTAGAAGAATCAATAGATGAAAGAGATTTACCCATAATGGATGTAGATCATAGAATCAAAAAACTTCATATCTTCTATATTTTGTTGTGAAAATTCTTTAGATACTATCACATTGAAGAGCAACTTTATTTCTAATAAATAAAGTTATTCTTTTTTATTTGAAACCATTATGCCTGAAATAGTTATTTCATGTGGTAAAATTACTTTTCATCATGTACACCTTTGTACTTTAATTCCTTAGCTTGTTACACTTAGATACCCACTCCATTTGTTCACATGTAAATTTGACTCTAACACAGATAACATGACTATATGAATAGTCTACCATTTTTATTATTTATTCATTCCATTGTACATTCACACATAAATAAAAGAAAACTAAGGAATGGTACTTATCAATCACATGAATAAATAACTAACCCATATAAGTTAAGAATACATTGCTTTAAATATACAAAAAACAATAAGGTCATCTACATCCCACAAATTTTCTTTGCTAGGTATACTAGAGTTTGATGATCTTATCTCATGGCATCACCAAGGATTTTAATGATACATCTGCCCTTTTCTCATGTATAAACAATTAAATTGTAACCTCCAATTATTCAAGCACATAACTTTATAATGAAATGATAAATAAGTTGTTAATGGTGAACAACTATCCATATGGCATTTAATACACATTTTTCTATTATGAATATATTTTTTTATAGTTATGAATCATGTCAATTCCTAATGAATCTCTCCTTACTACTACTCATGACTTGGATTTTTTTCTCAAATGGGATACTGAAAATTCCCTTACAATTGTTAGATGGTGCAACTATGCTAAAAGACCTAAAGTTGTGCTTAGCTTATACTAATTTTTTGAGTGATACTCTAAGTTAAGAAAGATCTATCTATAAGCAAATCTTTTTCTAGTCGATTTGCTACAACTCTTACCAAGTGAATTAGAACAACTATGATTGATTTCTATGTACTGAACACAACTCTTTATATCTCAATTGGCCATAAATTCACTCAAATGCCTATCCCATTTCAAAAAATTATTCCATCAGAATTTGTCTGTAGTCCAGTAAGCATGTGCCACGTGGCAAGTGGGTCTCACCATTCTAAAACACTCACCCAACATATTACAGTGGGCCCACTTGCCACGTGGCAAGTGTTCACTGGACTCCAAAAAAAACATTTTCATGGTGTTTCTTTGATTCTCTGCACATGCAGGAGGACGGCTGGGTGGTGTGCCGCGTGTTCAAGAAAAAATGCTTCCTTAAAATTTCCGGCGACCCAAACTCAACCAAATGTGCCGACGGCATGACGAACCCCGCAGCTCAATACCTGAACCAGCAACAAAGCTTCCATCTCCACCACCAACCCTATTCCTTCGCCCTCCACTACCCGCCGGCGGTAACCTACCACTACCCGCAAGTGCAGGTCCACGATCTCCTCTCCAATCACCGGCCGGTGACTGGATACCACGACTTCTCCGTCCTCCCCAACGAGTGCGAGCCGTTGCAGGAGGTGGGAGAAGGGAGGGTTCACCAGCCGGCAAATGAGTGGGTGTTGATGGAAAGTTTGGACGAGAGGTTCGCCGGCGCCGGCG